ATGAGTCATTAAATATAATTATTTGCAAATATCAGGGGCACACAAAGGAAGCAATCTCAGCTATCACTGAAAGTAGGTTTTATTTCAGAAAGCCTTTTAGTTAACTTTATAATATTACCAAATAAAATTTTTTCCTTCTCTCTTTCTTTCTTTGAATGCTCGTGTTCCTTAACCAGGACCATTAATGGCGCACAGTCTGGACCATGTTCTTGTCTGCCCCAAACAGGAGCCGGATAGTTAAATTCGAATTGAGGCTACATCAGAGATTAACTCTGTTTACACCACATCAAACCCAGGACACTAAGATCATGTTACAGATCAGAGCTGGAGAGAATCTGAGTGACTAAGGTTCATTCACATTTTTAGTGCCCTAAGAAAGTCATATTATTTCTGGGTCTTTTACTTCATAGTTGAAAAAATGGCATATTTGCAAATTATCAGACTGCTGAAGTAAAACCTTTATCTAAACTTCGTATTTCAAAACATGAAGTCAGCAGAGTCATCAGAAAGAACCCCGTGCCTTAGAAACATATCTGAAGTGCTAACGGCAGCTCCTTTTTTGTGACATAACTGGAGTTTAAGAAACGTAATTCTAGTGCCCTCCTGTGTTCTAAATAAGAACTACAATACCGAAAGAGGACACCGACCTTCATTGAATGAGGGCAAAAGGGAAGAAAACAAGATTTTTCCTGTGATAATACTTAAGAACTCTTCCAGTCACCAGTCTGGATCCTGTCTAGCTAGGTTCTGTGCATACACAAACAGAAAAGATGGCACTTGACTCAAACGGTTTACAATTCAAAGCAACAGAAAGGATATGGGAACTGTGGAAAAAAACATAAAATGATAAAACCATGCTGTTCAGCAAAACAGTAAGTAGTTTTAGTACACCAACTAAAAAGCTGCTACTACAACTAAAGCCATCTGTTCATTAATTTAATAAGTCAGTCCCTCTAGCTGATAAATGATCAGATCTGGTTCAGAATTGGACCCTTATTTTCCGATCACCATAAATAACAAGCAGCAGAGTAAGCTATATCAGCAATTAAATATGTAAATATATACAAACACCACAAACAGAAGAAAACAGTGGTTTTATCCATCTGCCTGTACATGTTTTATCATGGAACAATATTTAACATATTATCTGATTATCTCACAGCCCAGATACACATATAGCTGAATATTTCACTGCACATTTTGTTACTCAAATAAGGCAAACACTTGTATGATAATGCTATTTTGTTACTTAGTTTGTGTTACCCTATTGTCAGTTCATTCTGTTGTTTTGTCAACGTAACAGGGATATTTCTAAGCATTTTTTTAAAAAAAATCCATTGTCTACCTGTCACCAGTTTCACGGGCACTCTTTTTTTCTGGATTGGTCTTTACCAGCACAGATGTAAGAAAGGGCAAACATTCATTAATTAAACTGAGGTTTACAGCTACTACAACCCACCTTTTGATTACCACATGGAGCTAAGCTGTGGCAAACTTGTACAGAAGTACTTTCTCCTATTCACAACTAAAGAGTAAGCAAAGGACTGTGTGACTGAGAACAGCTCATACCTTATTGCAAGATCCCTCTTCTAAAAATGCTTTTCAGTATGCTCCAGTGAAGAAATTATTTCCTTCATTCACTTCAGGAAGATGGAAGAAATATGTAGCAGCTCTGTGCCCACCTCGTTGACCCAAGGTCTAACATAAACAGGTGTTCACTGTTCCCTTGTTTTATTTATACACAGTATAAATTGCTTCTTAAACAGGGCATACAGTATTTCTCTGACTAGAGTAGCAAATGCCCTGGGACGCTAACTGCATGTGATAACTCACCCTTCTCCCGCATAGTATTCTAGGCTGACAAACAAGCAGAACTGCCGGTAAACAATGTTTCTGAGAAGACAAGCAATGGAGAAAATTCTAGGTAAAATTTGTTGCTTTTGTCTAAAAATACCAAAAGCAATTACATGATTTGGACAAGAGATTTCCTGTCCAAAACTGATGTACGTCTTGGGAACAGATTCGTAAAAATATGGAGATGCTTAATGATGCCGAAAGGTGCCTAGAAGGAATTTTAAAAACTAATTCTTGTTGAAATTCATGTAGGAACAGCAAGTTTCTCAGAAAGCCACTCAGGCTTAGAGTTGCTAGTGTATGTCTGAGTTAATAAAGACCTGGCATCGCATGTCCCCAGCACTGTGCCACAAAGGCTTATCAGCTCAAATCCATAGGTGCTGTCTTCACATGGCTTACTCAGTTGGGTTCAGCAATGTTTGGAATCTCCCAGTTTTAACAGCTTCAGGGTCTGCACTCAGATAATGGGCAGGAACAGATTTCTTGGAGCGGTTAAGAGCACTTTGCTCCCCTCAGCAGCAGCACGACTAGTAGCTCTAACACGGGACATGTCTGCAGGCGCAGAGCTATTGCTTCCAATACAACTCTGCCACTGTTGAGTTGGGGTAGTACAGTGCTGAGTAGGGTATTAGTTTGTTAGACAGCTTTATCACTTTTTCTCAAGGAAAATTCTAGATGAAATGCAATCATCTTTGTTTCATGATTTTGTGCAAATATTTCCAAAGCCATATGACTGCTGAAACCTGACTCCTTTTCACTTAAACAGGAACGGGGACTGGAACAACCCTTAGGCAGCTTTGAAAATTTCTGCCTTGATGTTTCCTTAAGTCGGATGAACAGGTTCTGAGCAATCAGTTGGTGTTTCCATTTTAATAGCTTTTTATTTTTATGTCTGAGTTTATTAAAATTTCAAAGCTTAGCTTCTCTACCCTACCTCCATCTGTTTCTTTTTAAGGAAAGACA